CATTATATTCTCGTGTGCATCCTAACGTATATATAGTAATGGTACATCTTCTTCTCATATAAGATAGAAAATCATACATGAGAATCTACTATAGAGTGTATTTCCTAATACAACACAACCTGGGAAGAAGAAAAAAAAAAGTTGAAAAGAGTGACAAACATGATCATAAGCATCAAAAGGACCAATTTTTCTTTCCCCTTCTCGTGAGTTGCAGAGCGTTGTAATGAACAAGTAGCATAGCATCGACTTGTTTCTTCTTTGTCTCGGCAGCAGCACGCTCGCTGTCGACGCGAACTTTCTCGCGCGTCCACCGCATCCCCAGCGTGTACAGGTAGACGTAACCAGCAAAAAAAGAAAAAAGATTAACGATCCTCATTCGGAGCACCCAATCTCCATCCCCGATCAGATGTAGTAAATAATCGCACAAACAGTAGAATTGGGGGGCAAGGCCCAAAAATGGTTCCACTAAATACCTCTAGGCCCAAGCAAAAGGAAGGGCACAAAAGGACAAAACACTAAAAGTCAATGGGAGACAAGCTGTCAGGTGGTCCATTGCCTGCGGGCGCCTGTCGCGCGTCAGAAGCCTGACAAGGCAGTTAGATGTCTGACAAAGAGGGCACAAAGCATTAAATTGGGACAGTGACGTGGAGGAGATCAACCTCGAGTTCGGTGAGTATAAATAGGGGCAGTTGGTAGCATTTACGGAGGTTGGACTCTCTCGCTAACATTCCTACTTCGGGACACTTCCCTCTCTAAGGAACTGACTTGGGCGTCGGAGGATTAACGGGCCCAGGCGCCCTCCTCTTTGTGTGTGTGTGTGTGTAGGCAGGCGCCAGGCGAAGTGAAGCTTCAGGAGTATCAGCGGGTATTATGGCACAAACATAATACATTGCTAATGTCAGAATAGCGTAGGACATTTTGTGCCGCAGAATTAGCAACCCGATTCGCTTCTCGAAGTGTATAAATAAAATATACTAAGGATATATAGGTGACGAAGAATGCCAAGTACTTCACATTAGTTGATTGTCAAGAAAGATAGACTATAAAAACTCACTGGAATTTCTCACACGACCCATAGATAGTTTGGAACTGAATCTGAAACATCACAATCCTACATAAAGGGTCCAATGCTCTCCTTTTAAGAACAATATGCACTAATAAAAAAAATGAAGAGTTGTTGATTCAAGTCAACTATATACTAACAATTCAATTAAAAGAATTGGTTAGTTGATTGTCAAGAAAGATAGACAATAAAAACTCACTGGAATTTCTCACATGACCCATAGATAGTTTGAAATTGAATCTGAAACATCACGATCCTACATAAAGGGTTCAATGCTCTCCTTTTAAGAACAATATGCACTAATAAAAAAAAAAAAGAGTTGTTGATTCAAGTCAATTATATACTAACAATTCAATTAAAAGAATTGTCAAAACTTAAAAGTAAATGATAAAATTAGGGTTACTGATGATACAACTTAGAAAGTAGTAATATGATTTGACAACAAACCTATGTTCAGAAAGCGGGTTGCCGATGGATAGGAATCCCAGGGCTGTACCCGTGACGGTTGATTCTACCGGGGTTTCTCCACGACGTGGTGAGGGGGAGGGCAGGGTTGTGTGCATGTGGGATGGGGCGGTGAAAAGGGGGTCTCATGCGGCCGGTGGGATGGTTCTTTTGACTCCAGCGAGAGCTGTTTGGCTGGTAAAAGGAGTTCAATTTCCCGGCATGGATGACCCTTTGGTGGTGGAATTAATTGCCCTCCGGGAAGCTGCTCTGTGGTGCTTGTCGCTTGGCCTCTCAGATGTTAGGTTTGAAGGCGATGCCAAGGTTATTATTGATAAAATCAATCAGGCGGATGCCAAGGATAACCGAGTTGGAGCTGTGCTGGAGGAACTTCTGCAATATTTTAATGACAATCTTGGGCTTAGTGTTCGATTTGTAGGTCGGCGTAGTAATAGGGTAGCCCATTTGGTGGCTCGAAAAGCCCTTTCGTTGTACCCGACTATGAGTCGTTTCTTTGATTTTCAGACCTGGCTGAACTCCAGGATGTAACTATCTATTAATATCAAATTATCTTTTGTAAAAAAAAAAAAAAAAAAAAAAAAGCGGGTTGAGTTTCTAACCAGTCCACTAACCCCTTTCATGAAAACAATCCCACAATATTACTTTTCTTTTCGAAATTTAATTTTTCATTAGCATCCATAAAAAGTTACTAACTTTCCAAAAACCCCAAACAACAAAATATAATTTTTGTTGTGAGAGGAGTAGACATAAAATGACATTCGGGGAATAAAAAGTATGTGTTCACATAAAAATTACTTATATTTATTTTCAATTTTTTTAACATAGTCAAGACCAAATGAAAGTCCGGATATAAAGTAAAAAACATAACTAAACCATCTGAAGTAGTCGACTAATCACAAACTCCCGATGAAAGTGTTTTACTTTCGATTCCCTATAATTTCTATCTCTCTTGGGGAAAGTGGCATAGTTTTTCTTTAACGATTTTCACCAAGCAATTTAGATGAGCTTTGTAATTGGACAACGACGATTTTAATCATGGGTAGTAAAAAAATAGAAAGGGATCTTTTGATTCTTCATAGAAACCTGCTTGGCTTTCTCGGTGGGGTTAGAACATGAGCCCAATTTTAAGAAAAGCCTGCTGAGCTTTATGGCCGGGCTTAATAGAGGCTTGAGGTATGGAACCGCCAAATTGGTTTTGGCTAAAACCTGTGCTTTTCGGCGGGAAGAAACAAAAATAAAGGGACGAATGGACCATATTATCCCTGGCGAAAATTAAGGGGAGAGCTCCATTTTTTGAATGGTGAAAAGTTTGTAAAACTCCACCATTAATTATTCTATTGATTGATTGATGATTGATTGATTGATTGATTTGAAATATTTCCCAAATCCTAGTCAAGTCTCTCTCTAGAAGGCGGATGAGCTTGGGTAGGAATAGGATTGATTGGGTACTCTGTTTGGAGAAATAATTAAGATTATTAAAGAGGAAGATAGCTTCATGTGCCTACAGTAACCCCGGGAGGTGGATACGGTGATCTATTATTATTATTATTGTTATTATTTTGCATTATAATTGTCCTAGGCTCCTAGCGTCTTTTTTTTAAGTGCATGGTAGGCTCCTAGCGAGTTAGCACAAATTTGTTTAGTGCATGTATACATATATGGACGGTGTTTGTGAAATCGTATTGTATCTGCGGTCCAGACGAAAAAACCTCATATATATTAGAATCTAAATTGATAGAAGATTTTGACGGCATGATTTGAAATGATTAAATTATGATCAAATCGTGATTTCAACACAAACTATCGTACCACTGATTTTTCTAATACAACCTACATCCAATAAGTATGGTTTCGCAATCCTTGCATTTAGATGCCAAATATGTTTAAAGCTCGCTCCCATATGCATTAACTGTTACACATACTAAACACGCAAGGCTAGGTGTGAGAATATATATATATATATATATATATATATATATATATATATATATATATATATATATATATATATATATATATATTTGTTTTGTTTTCAAATTCCCCCATTCACGCATATATTTGTTTTGTTTTCAAATTCCCCCATTCACGCCAAGTAAACGAATTCAGAGAAAAAATATTTACCTCTGCCCCGATAACACGTAAACGGAATTTACCACCTATTTTTTGTCGGGACTCGGGAGTACCGATCATATAAAGCCAAGCCACGCCACTCCACTCCAGTCTCTCCCCAAACCCTACCCGTGCCGCCTACCACCAAATTGCAAAGTAAATCTGAGCTCTCTCCACACCTTCCCACCCATATCAATGGCTGCCGAGGTTCCTCTTCCTCGGGTCCTTCCACCACCACAACCGAAGGGAGATCGAAAGCTGACTCTTCGACGCTACACAGCAGCGTTTACTGTTCTAGCCGCTCTTACCTCCTTAATGGCGGGCGTCATTTACGCGCAGACGGACTACGGTCGTCAAGGGAACACCGCAGCTCCTCCACCTACTCCGGCGGACAACACCAGCAGCAGCAACCCTCCATCTCCACCGGCGGGCAACACCTGCAGCAATAGCCCTAAGTCTGGATTCTTCCAGTACATCAGGGATGCCTGGAACTCGTTGACTGTCTCCGACTTGAGCGTCGGGGTTGGTGCGGCTGGGGTAAACGTTTTTGTCGGCATGTTGAACTACGACAGTATCTCCAAATCTCCTTGGCTGGTAGGCCCTTACGGACCAACCTCTAAGCTGATGGGGTCCGTGATGAATTTCATGTTTGGATCGGTGGAGGAGAATACCATTCCCCTCCTCTGGTTCCTTTTGTGCTTGTCTGCGTGGTTTTTCTGCTTCTGTAGGGTGGTCAAGCCCAAGTGTGATCAGTACAACATTCAGGATTGGCTGCTGGGGTTAACCATGGGAAAAGTGGCGACCATACCGGGCCACGAGGGTATCCGAGTCGCTGTGTTCCTCATCTGCCTCATCTTGGGAGTTGCGAGGCCGTTCATGGAATCGTTTGAAGATGGATATCGTGGCTAGAATTAAAAGGTAATTAATCCCCAACTTCCTCATTCCAGTAATTAATTTTCTTACATTCAGATCTGATCAGTTGGGAACTGTACGTATATTTTGGAGCACTGATTTGCTATTTAAGTTTTGAGTAGTTGTTGACTTATTAATTGAGGAACTCGATATTTCCTTTTTGGTGAATCAATCGTATTGAACCAAAACTACTCAAAACTTAAATAGCAAATCAGTGCTCCAAAATATACGTACAGTTCCCAACTGATCAGATTTGAATGTAAGAAAATTAATTACTGGAACGAGGAAGTTGGGGATTAATTACCTCTTAACTCTAGCCACGATATCCATCTTCAAACGATTCCATGAACGGCCTCGCAACTCCCAAGATGAGGTAGATGAGGAACACATCGACTCGGATACCCTCGTGGCCCGGTATGGTCGCCACTTTTCCCATGGTTAACCCCAGCAGCCCATCCTGAATGTTGTACTGATCACACTTGGGCTTGACCACCCTACAGAAGCAGAAAAACCACGCAGACAAGCACAAAAGGAGCCAGAGGAGGGGAATGGTATTCTCCTCCATGGTGTACTGTACGCGAACACCGATCCAAACACGAAATTCATCACGGACCCCATCAGCTTAGAGGTTGGTCCGTAAGGGCCTACCAGCCAAGGAGATTTGGAGACACTGTCGTAGTTCAACATGTCGACAAACGTGTTTACCCCAGCCGCACCAACCCCGACGCTCAAGTCGGAGACAGTCAACGAGTTCCAGGCATCCCTGATGTACTGGAAGAATCCAGACTTAGGGCTATTGCTGCAGGTGTTGCATGCCTGCCGTTTAGGGTTCCATTCAATGGAGTAGCAAATAAGTATAGACGAATCCACCTGTATGTATGTGTGTGTGCATAAGCTACGCTAGGGGTTGGTGATTAATCGATTATTGCATGCCAATAGTCTAGTCTAATCTAGTCTAGTCGGAGATTAACTTTCCATTAATGGCTCGCTTGCATTGTTGTTGTTTATTACAAGAATCGAAGATGGGGTTCGGCTATAGCTATAGCTAGTCTTGATTTGATTTGTCTTTGCCCTGCTGTTGTTTGCAGACGAGGCTGAGTAAGGAGGCAGGTCCCTGTTTTTTGCTTGTACGTAGGGGATCGGCTGGGCGTTCGAGGTGGATGTTATGATGGCGACGGATGATGAATCAAGACTTGTTTGCTTGCTCGCTCTATCCTGTAATTAGTTTCGCTAGCTTAGCTTGCTACAAGATACTTTCCGTTGAATTTCTTTCAGTTGGTCATGCATGTCGCATCGATCGGGAAATACTGTACAAGGATGGATCAAGTTGCTTTAAATTTGCTTTGCTTCTAGTACGGTTAAGTTTGGATGATGGTATGCCTACGTTTTGCTGGTGGATTAAGTTTGGATGATGATCATTTGGTTTCCTATAGCTCGCTCGCTCCCCTACGTAGTATATGATTTCTTTTGCATCTATACATACATAGGTTGCTCACTCGCGATTGTGTTTTCTATCGCATGCACGCACGGTTGTTTCATGTTTGTGTCACGTTTTCATTGATCAATGTCAATATTTTAAAGGGTGCATTGCATTGCATGTGAGTTTAATTATAAAATAGTGGTAATAACACATAAAAGACAAGGTGCTATATATACGTGCAATATAAACATGATCATGCATTGAAGGCCTTGTTGTAACTCTTGCATATTAATGGCCTAGAAAGAATATAATGAATGATTTGGGATTAATGTTGTAACCTGTTTGATGGTAGGGTGCCCGGTGGGCTCTTGTTGGATTTAATTTGGAGGTGGCGGTAGTTAATGAAACCTTGCAAAGTAATTCATAATTGTTATTTTTAATTTCGTTTGTCATATTATTATTATTTTTTTTTTGGCATTTTATTTGTATTTCTGTCATGGCAATGTTCATGGACCACTATTCAACGAAAAAAAAAAAAAATGTTCATGGACCACTTGGTTGTTACACTAAAATGTATGAAAAAAAAAGGAGCCAGAAGAAAGCCATTCCCTTACTACCCTTAAAAGGTTTACAGAGGCTTTTTTCTCTCTCATTTTTTTTCGGTCAGCACTCACGCTACATGGAAACAAACTTATGGCAGCTATCCCATAGCCCTTGTCGCACAAATGACGTCTGCATACACAGCGATTATATCCAGCGGTTAAAAGAACCCTGCGGATTTTGGGATTACATAAAAAAGGGTAATACCATTTTGGCTGCTACCCTGGTTGTCCATTTTAATTCACGGCAGTTGCTAATGGTAATTAACGGACGCCATTTATTGGACATGTGAATATTTTTCATTTGATTTGAATGTTTGAATTATTGAGAGTTGAATGGAATGGTTGAATCCAATATTGAAAAATCATATTGGAAGTTGTATCGAAAAAGTCAGCGGTAGCATATTTTATGCTGAAATTATTGTGTAATCGTTGTTAAACCATTTCATACTGCTAAATACCATCAACCAGTTTCTCTTCCAGTAGGAGGTTTTTCTGGTCGAACTGCCAGTACGATATAGTTTTTTAACCCTTTGATTGAACTGAATTTTTTTATTAAGTTTTGTATTCTTCATATTTACTTAGATTTTAAAGGAAAAGGTTACATAGAAAAAATTTGATTGAGATTTACAAAATTATATCAATTTTCCATAAATTTCATAAAAGCCTTTTTAGTACAATATATATTAGTATGGCATATATAGCATCTATATTACTGTATATTTTATATCACCATAGTTCCATACTCCAATCGTACAATCATTGTCTATTTTCGTAATATTGTAATATATTTTTCTCTTTGCCTTCTGTGTTTCAGGAGTTGTTTTTGGTTGCCTCGAATATTTTTTTCTTGTTCTGTGTTTCTTCCTCTTCTTTCTTATATTAATGAGATGAGTTGTCATGTGTTTTTGATGGATTTATAACAGGTTAAGATGACGTTCAGAAGAAAGCAGTGCATTACATTATGTCAATGATTCATAAGAAAGCAAAAGTTTGATGTTGCCGATCTTGCTTGAAATTCACCTTTATTCAAGTTTGAAATTATTTTTTCGATTTACTTTGGAGAATTTTTTGCTGTGAGTTTAGTGAAATAAGTAATTTATGCCATGGATAATGGGTAATGTATCTTTAAGAGTGTAGATATAAATTTATGGGAACATTGAAATGCAACAGCAGGTGGCAGCGGTTAAATTTAGGGTTAATATTTTCGTATGGCCTGAACTTTGACCAAAGTAAACATCCTGGCCAATCTTTTAGATCTATAACATTATGGCCCGAACTATACACCAAAGTAAACAATTTGGCCAAATCAGACTGTTGACCGTTAACTTCGACGGTCAAACGCGTTGACTAACGGTCAACGCGCCATGTCACCGCCAACTCAGCAAAAAAAAAAAAAAAATTTAATTACCACCTAGCCCATTTAATTTCCACCTATTAGGTATTTTCTTAATTTGAAGACGAAAAAAAAAAAACCCACAAAACGCAGCGGGTTTACCCTAACCCTACCTTATCCATATCGTTCCCATCTCCATCCACAGAAATCACCCGCCGACCTCACCTCACCTCACCTCACCTTCTCCTTCCTTCATCGTCGAATCACCTCACCGACTGAAAAATGCAGCGGCGGGCGTTCTTCTGAGCCCGCCGCCGCCGCCATCGATCTCACCCTTCTCCCTTCTACCTTCGCCCAGATTTCCCCCCTCCTCCTTCGCGATTTCTGATCCCTCGCGATTTCTCGCGATTTCTTTCTTCTCTCTGTGCATCGATAACGACCTGGTGAAAAGGACGACGACGGGTCCACATTTCAAAGGGACCACAGCCAACAGATCGCATTCCCCACCAGCAACGTAAGCAATCGATCCCTTTCTTCTCTCCATTTCCATTCTTTTTTAATCCTCGCTAAAATCCAAGGATTAGGGTTTTCTAGTAAACTGAGATTAAAGTAATGGAAACTGAGATTAAAGTAATGGAAACTGCGATTAAACTAATGAAAACTGAGATTAAAGTAATGGAAACTGAGATTAAACTAATCTCGTATCATTTTTTTTTTTGTCTTTGCTAGAATGGACGATATGGTTGAGCTTATTCTGCATCATGGAGGCGCGATGAATATGTCGGGGGGTGTTCCACAGTACGTTGGGGGGGTTGTCGATGTCGTCAATGTGAATCGTGATGTCCTGTCCTACTTCGAATTGACGAAGACTTTGATTGAAGATTTGGAATATATTTCCGTCGAGAGGCTATGGTACTTGACACCTGGGGAAAGTATGGCGACAGGATTGCATGAAATTGTGTCGGATGTGGAGGTTTTAACTGGGTTGCTGCCTTTGGTTGGAACTGGAGATATAAAGGTGTACTTTGAGGCAACAAGGGATCTCGGAGAGCTGGGTTATATGGGAGATAATTATGGCCATTTTCCTGAAGGGGAAGATGCATCTGGCGACAATTCAGCAGCACCTGAGTTTGTTCGGCTAGAGGATGATGATGCTCAGACATCCGACGAGGAATACCATGAGATAAGAGCTGAAGCTAGGAGAAGGAATAGAAGAATGGTAGCAGATCTTGATGGTGAAGGTAGTTCAGTGAATCAATTGTTTGCGTGGGATGTCAACCATCATGCTGACTTTGATTTGGATAGTGCTACTATTGAGGGTGGAGCTGAAGCGGAAGCTGAAACAGACTCTGTAGAGCTTGATGAGAGTGTGGAATTTGATGAGAGTGTCGAGATTGATGAGGGTATTCAAAGGGGTGCAGAACAAGTCAACGTGGACGAGGAGATCAATGCCGAAGGATCAATTGATACGGAGTATAGGGCCTCTGAGGATTCTGCCCATGTTAGAGGGAACATTGCTGAAGAAGATGGTGCTACAAGCTACGACAAGAGCTTGTGTTATGATCCCAAGTGTGATCATAACACTTTGAAGTTCAAAACCCATATGCGGTTTTTAGATGGTAATCAATTTAAAGCTGCTGTTATGAAGAATGCAATTAAAATGGGAGCTGATATTAGATGGGTTAGGAGCAGTTCGACGAGGAAGGAAGCTGTGTGTGCACAAAGGGAAGAGTATGGTTGCATGTGGAAGGTTTATGGTAGTTGGTTTCGTGGAAAAGAAGCATTCATGGTTAAATATTCTGGGCCAGATCATATTTGCCCTCGAGCAATTTGGATTCGTGCTGCGGGTTATAAGTGGATTGCATCTGAGTACCTGGATGTTTTCCGTGTTAATCAAGCATGGAATGTTAACTTAATAGCAGCTGAATTGAAGACCAAACACAATATCTACGTCTCTAACAAACATGTTATAAGGCACGGCTCGAGGCTCGAAGACTGCTTTATGGTTCGCTTACTGAGGATTTCCACAAGATTAGAGACTATATTGGCCATTTGCTGAGAGTTGACAAGAGAGGGTCATTTCTGCTGGAGGTTGATTCTGTACCTAACTCGGAGAAGGTATATTTCAAGCGTTTGTTCATTGGTTTCTCTAGTTTGGCAAAGGGGTTCTTGAAAGGGTGCAGGCCATTCTTTTGTTTGGATGGTTGTTTCTTGAAAGGGGAAGTACAAGGGATGTTACTGTCGGCAGTTGGAAAAGACGGTAACAATCATATGTTCCCAATAGCGTGGGCAATCGTTGAATCGGAGAACAAAAATTCCTGGACCTGGTTCATTAAAGCATTGCAAGACATTCTTCGGATCGAGGATGGTGGCGGTTGGACAGTAGTCTCTGACCAACAGAAGGTATGCATTCTGTTTTTGGTTAAATGAGGATTGATTTGTTATAATTATGCAATTGTGTTTATGTGTTTACTTGTGGTTATTGCAGGGGCTGGTGGAAGCGCTAAATGACTGTATGCCTCATGCAGAACATCGAAAGTGTGCTCGTCATGTCCACGCGCACTTCAGAGAAAAACACAAGAGTGCCATAGCTTCTGATCTATACTGGGAAGCGGTTTATTCATTAAATGAACCTGACTGGAGGGCTGCTGTTGATAAATTGAAGGAACTTGGAGAGGGTGCTGATACAGACTTCATGGCCATGGAACCAGCAAGGTTCTGTAGATGTTTCATGCAGACATTTTCCAAGAGTGACTCAGTAGAAAGCAATATTTGTGAGTCTTTCAACAACTGGATCTTGCGGTTTAGGTCATTGAGACCAATTGCAATGTTGGAGGGTATCCGAGTGGCTGTAATGACACGAATTGTCAAGAACAGAAGAATGATGGAGCGTTGGAGGGATAAATTTCCACCAGTGGTTAGGGGAAAACTAGAAAAGGCAAAGCATTTGGCTCGAATGTGCACCAGCCGCCCTTCTACAGAAGATAAGCATGAGGTAACCATAGGGGACAAAGGATTTGTGGTTAATATCAAGAATGGTAGCTGTTCATGTGGTTTCTGGTTGCTGAATGGAATACCTTGCTGCCATGCCTTTGCTTCCATAACTTACTTGCGAGGGCATCCGGAGGATTTTGTGGATGAGTATTTCTCGCTGAATC